ATGATCCTGGGGATCCCTTCTAACTTGGGATATTCCACAATTCTGTGATTCCCAGTTTTACCCCACACCCATCAACATTTTCCTCTTCCATCCTTCCCCCAGGAAGAGGAAAAATCACCACGAGCTGCACATCCTCTGCTTTAGTGACACAGGAGCAAAAACCTTCACAAAAACCAACCAACCCAGCAATCCTCAGGATGCCTGCACTGCCCTAAACCTCCACGGGGAAAGAAACATAATTTTCCTCACTAATTTTTCCACTAAGTGGCTTTTCCACTAATTTCAATGACGAGAAGTGATGATTTCCCAGCAAGACCCTTATATCCAACAGCAATTCCTGACAACATGTCAGGAAGGTGTCCTGTGCKCAAATCCCTTTAAATCCAACCCCAAATGTGGGGTTTTAAAATTTTTTTTGGTTTTTTTTTTAACTCTAGACTAGACATTGACAATAAATGCTTTGATCTGTTGCCTCAAATTTCACTGTCTCCCTGAAAACAAAAGAAAGAAAAAAACCACAAATTTTTACATGTCTCACAAGAGGACAGCATTCAACTCAGACTAAAAATTATGAAGTCGTATATTTTTAATATTCCTGTCTAGCCCTCTGCAAACCACAGAACAATGCAACATCCATCACCATAAAAACCAGGACAGTAAATTAGGAAGACAGCATATTTGGGGGCATTTTTAAAGAAAAATAAATATTCCTAATGGGAAACTTGAGAGAAATCATTAAAAATTACTGTGGTATCCATCATGGCAGAATGAAATCAATTAGGTCTTAATCTCCTGTTATTTATGGAAGGAAGAATGGAACAGAGCTTTTTTACTGCAGGCATTTTCTGTTGGGTTCTGTTGCACAACTTGGAGCCCCAAACTTCTCAAAAGTAAAATAAATAGGAGTAAAATGTTGGTTTTGTYCCATCTGTGAGAGGTGTTTGCATCCTGTAATTATATATTAMTTAAAGTCTARATGTGGSAAGATACTGCAGAAAATAAAAGTATTTTAAACAACTCTAAAAATATATCACTGTGACATTTTTTTAAAAAATATCCACCAAATTCCTGCAATTAAGAGCTCTTTTACATATTCCTATATATGCAACATCATCCTCAAGCAGTTCATTGCACTTCTCTGTTTTATATCATTTTATATAACTCTGTGTACCATGAGAAAATCAGTGCAGTTTCTTCTYAATTTTCTTTTATTTTTCCTTTTTAATCACTCTGCAGCTGGCAGGGAGATGATACACCTCATTATCTTATTCTGTGGGTCACCAAAAATGGGTATTAAGTAATTCTGCCTCCTACAACTCTGGCATGGAGCCAAGGAGAAGTAGGAAAAGCAAAACTCCTGACCTAAAAAAAGAGGATGCTTTGTGTTCTGAACATAAAAATGAGGTTTGATATGGAGCCATGGGATGGTTTGGGTTGGGAGTGACACMTTCCACTGTCCCAGGGTGCTCCAAACCCCTTCCAGCCTGGCCTTGGGCACTCAAAGGGATCCAGGGGCAGCCACAGCTTCTCTGGGCACCCTGTGCCAGGGCCTGCCCACCCTTCCAGGGAAGAATTCTTTCCTCATATTCCTGTAATTCCAACACTTTTGTCAAACAAACATTGCCAGAGATAAAACCATCACCTCCCAAAATGCCTCCTCCAGCTGAGAGACAAAGTCCTCTTCCAGAGCCCAATCCTGGAATTCTCCAGGGGTAGAGTGGCAGCACTCAGTCAGCAGCACAGTAAGARTTTTGGGCAAGGATTTCTGTGCTTTTGATRTAAATAGACAGATATYTAAATSAAATGTTAGTAAATATTTCTATAYATGCAGTGAGMTCCTCTACCAACAGTAAATTTGATTGATTTTCAGTCGCTTCTTTCATTCTGTTCTAGTTTCACACTCAGGTGAATTTGCGTTTTGGTTGAAATAAACCCCCTTTTATCCCAGGGCTGCAGCTRGGGTTGGGATTTCTCCAYCCCCCATTTCCTGGGGTTGYCCTGTGGCCAGGACAGGGGGGATCCCAAGAAAGGAATCCCACAGGATCCGAACACATCCCGGGGTCACAGTGCCTGCAGAAATTCGACCCTTGGGACAGCCCTGCACCCCAAACAGGGGCCACTCAGTGCTGCTGGGGAGAGATTTCCACAATTCCCCAATTCCCCACCACCAGGGCATGGCTGTGCCCCCAGGCTGATGGGACAAGCTGTATTTTTAGCCACGGAGCTCTTGCTCAGGGAATGATTTCCTCCAGAGAGAGCTGCCAAGAGTTTGATCCCCACATTTTTGTGCGTTGTTTTCCTTGTAAATCAGCTCTGAYGTGATCAGGCCTGGATATTCCACAATAAAACCCCACAAAATCTTACCCAGACATTTTCCTCCTCTCTCTGAGCAGCTGGGTGAACCTCTAGAAGTAACTCAGAGCTTGGATTCACATCCACAGGAAAATATTGGGGTTWGGATGAATCCCCAGGAGGCTGCAGCCCTCAGTCCTTGATGTCACAATGACCTTCAGCCTTTCAGATGTTTCTGTCCCATGAGATAACGATGCCAGTGAGCAAAAAAAAACCCTGTCCTGCACCCCTAAATTCTGTGCACTCCCCACGTGGGCTCTGTTCCCATTAATGAAAAATTAAAATTCCACAATTCCAGCCCCACAGAGAGGTTTTGTGCTTGGGGAGGGCAACGTGTTGACAAGTGCACACAACCTCTGTGYCTGAATGTCCCCAAACCACCCCAAATCCCTCCCAAATCAACATTWATTATTAAATATTGATCAATGATCACAGATAAAAGTGAAAGAGTTGACCCCACCAGTTGGACCAGTGCCTGTTAGCAGAAATTTGGAAAATGTGTCCCTTCCCAAGGCACAGCACCAACACCCAGAGAACTTGAACTCAATCCACAAATTTCTCCAACAAGAAGGAAAATTCCAGCTTGACAAGTGTGAGTGACCTCCAATTTTCCCATTATCTGGTGGCAAATGGGCTCTCTGAAGTTCCTGCAAGTCCAAAGTGAAATCCCACCAATTTTTTTCCCCTGACTCTGAACTTCCTGCGGCTGACCCTTTCTTGTCCTGTTTTCCTGAAGTGTACATTTCCCTTTTTCTGTCACAATGATTGGATTGTGGAGCTGAAATGAATGTCAGCATTGTTTGCTGGATTCATCACCAGATACCCTTTTTTTCCCAGGCCCAGAAACAGAAGTTAGGTTTGCAAAAGAAGAATTGTTGGTTTTCTGAAGCGCAGGTTTTGTGCCCTGTAAAACATTCCCAGACAGGGATTTGCATCATGCATTTTCCTCACTGGCTCATGTGCACAAAACAAATTCCCCCTCCGATTGCCACAGATTTGTCCTGCAGGTTTTAAAAAATTACATTTAGAGGAAATAAAAACCATTTTGAAATAACCATTTTACAAACCCAGAAGATGTTGGGTTGGGGTTTTTTTGTTGGGTTTTTTTTGTTGTTTCTTTTTGGTTTTTTTTTTTTTTTTTTTTTTGGTTGATCACTTGACTTCATGCTGTGAGCCTGAGGAGCTGCTCCTGGTGCTAAGGGGTAAAACCCCACCTGAGCAGCCCATTCTGCTCTTCCCAGGAAATCCATCATTGATTTTCTCCTGAGCATCACCTGGGTGCTCTGATTTCCAAGGAGGATCRGCTCCTCTGTTTGATATTCCTGTCAAATACAGGTTTATTTACATACATTTGCATACAGGCATGGAGTAGGGGATACACCATGGCAGGCAGGTTAAACCATTTCCCTCGAATTCCTGGGAATCCTGTGGGATAAATGCCTGGGGATAAATCCATGGAAAATGCTCTCATTCCCAATGRGGAAGATCCCCAAACCATCCYAAATCAAYATTAATTATTAMATATTGATCTGTGGTCTCTTCCCTGCTGCCAGAGAAGTGGGAAAAGTTTTGGGGCTCCCTTCTGACCTGACCCAGGGAGGGATTATTCTCCATGGGTACCAAACTCCAAATGTTCTCTCTCCATGCCATAATGGCTTTAGGGTCAGGCTCCAGGCAGGCTGAGGGTGCAATGTGTGGAATATTCCTCTGTGCATCCCAGGTGGGCAGGAGATAACGCCCCTGAAGGGACAGACTTGAGGAATAAAAGCTGCATTTTTCTGGAGTCAAGGAATCAGAGTAAGGACTCAATGGGGAGAAATGCTCAGTTCCTACTGAAATCCAAGGGGATTTGGGCACGGATCCTATAGGAAATGGGATTGCAGCGAGCTAGAATGGGATCAAAGCTTGAAGGAGAATCCTTCTTGTGTTCCTTTTCTGAGTTCTGCTTGGAGTCATGTGTGCTCCAGAACAGAATGACTTCCTTGGTTAGAGGATGTTTTTCAGGGAAGAACCCTGGAAGGTCCCTCCTCACCCTCCTTCCATGTCCTGTCCCAATGGATTGAACTGTTGGTGAGTTTTTGGGGATGATCTGTCTGGAAAGCAATAAAAGCATTCAACAGAGCTCTGTCTTCTCTGTGAGTAAAAATCAACATCGTTATTCCTACATTAGCTGGGAAGCTGAAACACAAAAACCCAAAATAATCCAACAGAAACAGAGCACAAAACACAGCCAGGTCCTTGTGTCCAGCACAGGTCACCCAGCTGGAGGTTATCCCAGTGGCTCACAAACATCCCCCTTCCAAAAAACCCTGACCTCACATCCCAGGCTGGATTAGCAAAACAAAGCAGAACCATCAAAGGCCAAATTCCAACCCCACTCAAACTCTGTGCAGCAAAGTTTAACACTTGCAAGGGTTTTTAGGTTCTTTCCCCATGGGATTTGTGGGTACAAAGGCACGACTTTTCAGGCAGTTTCAATAATTGTGTTATATTTACCAGCACCAAACCAAAACACAGCGTTTGGGTCAATATTATCCTCATTTTTTATTCCATAAATAAACTCCATCRGTTTGTGAGCTGCTTGTTTTTACTTCCAACAAGTACAAATAAAGATTTAATTTTTTTTTTTTGGGGGGGGGGGTGAGGAAACATCACAGCTGGTTTGAGTTCTGCGAGTTTTGATGCAAACATCCTTCTTGGCACCACTTCTTCATCTGCCATTTCCATAAATACTTCACGCTCACAGAAGTGGAGTAAAACGAATATGACAATGAAAAAAATGTGAAAAAAAAGCATTATCAACAGATTTTTAAATATTGCTCTTTAATGGCAGAGCTTGCTAGGTAGTTCCACTCCATGAACTGGAATGGRGTTCCTCAAAAAGCTGAAATATTGGTCCCTTTTGGAATGTTAAGTATTAATGTGAAACTGCTGCAGCTCTGATGATGTGGTAATGCTATTTCAAATGGTTCCTAAACATAACAAATAACARTTTTCTTCAAGGGTTTAACTCACAGGAAATCAATTAATAAAATTCTTCAGAGAAAGAAGTTTTCCACGTCTTATAAACACTGTGCTAGTGCTACGGAGAAATGTGCTTAAAAAATGATTAAGATAAATAATAGCCCTGTAATTCAGTATTTGCATTAAAAATTCTTAAAATTATTTCCTCTGGGTAAGCTGACCCAAAGGTGATGCTCTGAAACAGCTGTGCTCCCTTTTAGGCTGTTTTYGATTACTTGAAAGTTGCCTTAAAATTTCAATTGAAACATAAATGATCTTGCTTTATACAAAGAGCCAAAGATAAGGAAAACACCTCCAAGTAATTGAGATAACAGTTAATTTTATGGCTTATCTAGCAGGCAAAGGCATTCAAGATCCAATTAGGATGATGGGCAAGAGACTCCTTTGTCACTCCGTGTTTCTGTGAAGGAGCTGGTCCAGTAATTGCTAGAAAAAAAATATACAAAAGTGCTTTAAAATAGTGTTAAAATCCATGAGTGATAGGAATCTTTAGTGACACAGGAGCTGGCATCCCAGACTTCAAACCTCCTGGCTCCATTTGCTACAAAAAGAACAGGAAATCCTCACCTTTTTAAACATCTCCACACGCAGCCTGTTACTCTGGATGATGATCCTTTTCTGCTTTTCTTCTTGTTTCTTTTTAACCTCAGGCAAATTGTCATAAATCCTGCCAGGAATTCAGAAAGTGGAGTTCATGTCATCCCTGGGACTGGAAAATAATTCATTTTTCCCACAGGAAGTGTTTGCCTTCCATGCAATGGGCATTTCTAAATAATTGAATTACATTTATGGCACAGAAATTATAATTTTTTAGTGATAATGGTTTGATCTGAGATCTGGTTTGTTTCAAATCTTGTTGAAAATTCTGATTTTGGAATAAAAGTAGTAAAGAAGCAGATGGGATCAGGTGATTTCAGTGCAGCAATGTAACTGCAGTAGCTTCTAACAAGCTCAGTGGAGTTGGTTTCAATTTATAGCAACATAATTCAAACCAGGATCTGGCCTGTACATTTTTTTTTTTTTTTGTATTTATGCCACACAATTAATACCAAGCAACCATTTTCAAGTAATTTAATTTTCTAAAATATAAGAAAACCATCATTATAAGACTGTAGRCTGTTAACATTTTTTCACTGTCATTATGAACACTTCTTACTGAGGAGAACACAATCTTTCCCTTTTAAAAATGACAGGAGCTGCCTTTAAAAAGGTGACTTCTGCTCTGATCTGTTGCCATTAAAATCAATGATAAAATTCCCAGGATTTGGAAGAAAAAGCTGGACCTTCCTTCCCAGCAGYCCTGGTCTTTGCACGAGCACAAAACCTCTTTACTTCTGGATTTTCCTTGTAATATTTTGCAATTCCAGGCTCTTGAAGCAGCCTGTTTTGGCTGGGGGTTGTATTTTGGAGAAGAGGAATGGGGCACATCCTAAACCAGGCATGAATTCCTCGTGGTGGCTTTTGCAGCTTCTCTTACATGAAGCACAATGCAGTTGAAGGTCCTCATAATTTGCTGTCATTCCCATCCCCTGTCCCATAATCAGGGAAAAAAAAAAATCCAAAGTGACCYCACTGCTTCCATTTTTGGGTGTTCAACATGAGGTACCCGTTGAGGATTTGGTTTTCATGCCATGGGTGCCCCAAATTGCCTGGACCTGCCAGAAAAGGGCAGGGCTGCCCAAATTTAAACTGATACAGCAGGAAAAAAAAAAATTAAAATTAAAAAAAAATCTATGGACAAACCCTAAACCAGAGGGATTTGTACCTTTTAGATCTCATGTGCATCTCCTTCTCAGGAATGACCCTTTCCTTTGGTTTGAAGAGGTTATCTGGGAGAGAGAAAATAAAGTTAGAAAATAAAGTTAGAAAATAAAGTTAGTACTGGAGGGATCTGCTTTTGCTGAAATCTGAAGTGTCACATTCCGTGGAGTCGTGGTTTCCCATTTCTGGATAAAGTTTTGAAGGTTTAAGGCTGGATCCAAATCTCCCAATCTCTCCAAATCTCCCAATCTCTCTCTCCAAATCTCTCCAGATCTTCCTCACAGATTCCTGCAGGAGTGTGTCAGGAACCTGCCCTGGTACAGCCATTTCTGCTTTGATTTGGTCCATTTTTGCAGGGCTGGGGATGATTATGTGAGCATTAGAAGAAGGAAAATGGCATTACTCCTTCCAGATCAAATCTGAAGAGATCTGTGATAATTCCAGTCGGAATTTCCCTGGATATGGGAAAATAATGACTGCTCTGAGCAGTGAGTGGCTCTCAGGAATGGAGGATTTGAACACTTTCCTGGCAAAAATGGGTCCTGAATGGGAAGGGAGGGGTTTGTACAAGGGGGGAAACAGGAAATTAATGAGGTCACTGTTGTGTCTCTGTGTAAAATTATGGAATCATGGAATGGTTTGGATGGGAAGGGACCTTAAAGCCCATCCAGTGCCACCCCTGCCGTGGCAGGGACACCTCCCACTGTCCCAGGGTGCTCCCAGCCCCAATGTCCAGCCTGGCYTTGGGCACTCAAAGGGATCCAGGGGCAGCCACAGCTTCTCTGGGCACCCTGTGCCAGGGCTGCCCACCCTACAGGGRACAATTCCTGCCCAAAATCCCATCTAAATCTCCCCTCCTTCACCTTACAGCCATTCCCTGTCTCCTGTCCCTCCATCCCTTGTCCCCAATCCCTCTCCTGGAGCCCCTTCATGTCCTGGAAGGGGCTCTGAGAGCTCTGGACTCTTCTCCAGTGAACAATCCCAATSTCTCAGCCTCTCCTCACAGCAGGGATGCTCCATCCCTCCAGTCAGAAATCAAARGGAGCTTTGCAGCAGTTTCAGATCTGATTCAGTGCAGATTCCAAAGCACAAACYGAGAAAGGAGAGAGGCTCTGGAGCYTTCTSTGCCTCAGGACTGACTTTCCTCCACCCAGCAATCCTCTACACTTAATCATCCTGGTTAAATCCYCAGCACACACCAGCCACATGCTCAATTTGCTGGGAAAACATCATTTGTCTTTTATTTATTAGTGCTCTAATACTCATTTACATGGGGATTCGCTTAAAAGGAATAAACACTCGGATATTATTGCTGTCCAACCAACCCTGAAAGCACAGGGAGCAGATTGCCTGTGACCCAGGGACCTTTCCACCATCCCAGGGTGCTCCAAGCCCCTCCAGCCTGGCYTTGGACACTTCCAGGGATCCAGGGGCACAGTGGCACGTTAACATTTCCAGATCTCTGTGTGTAACCACCAGAACAGAAAAAACCCATCCAGGGATCTGCAGACCCACTATCCACCCCATATACACCATGATGAGCTATTCTGCGTTTTCCTACAAGTCCCTAAGACAGGGTGGGCTCTGTTTTYAATTTCTGGGATGCACCACAGGGTTTGGGAGCTGTGCAGGTGCTGCTGCTCCAGAAAAATCCTCTCCTGCTGGCACAGATGGGCATCAGACCCATCACTGCCATGGTTCTGCCTGGCAGCAGCTATGTGGCTCTGAAGGGATGGCTTCAAAAGAGACTCAGGGGAAAATCCTTCATGAAAATAATAAATCCACCTCGGTTATGAAAAATATCCTTTGTGAAGCAGCGTGGAGCCAAGAGGTTAATTCTGTTGGCCAAATGTTCCTGCAGCATCTCCCAGCTGGATGTTTATGAGTAAAAAAATCACATGCTAACATCGAGCAGAAATAATCCTTGATGGGTTGCAGGATTAGGATGCAAAAGTGAAATGAGAAATGAATAAAAAATTGGTAGAAATGAGAAAATAAAAGTGGTGCGTGCATTAAAATTGTTGTTAATCCTCAACCCGGAGAAGAAAGCACATTTCAAAGGGGAACACCCRGAGCTGTAAAAACCTGCCAAATTCATCATGGAGAGAAAAGAAYCTGAACTGAGGCTCTTTCCTACCAAGCAAAGATCAAATGGGCCCTGAGAAGGACAATTCCCCATGCTGATAGTCTTCTAAATTTCATTTCAGCAGTTCCTTATCAAAGCTCTTTATCAGATTTCACAGCCTCGGATGATTTTGGAGACAACCGCTGTGACTGAGGGGAGAGAAGGAGTTCAGAGCAGACCTTCAGGGATGTTCCACAGATGAATAAAGCCTTGTACAGAGAGGAGTGAAACTCTTCATCAGTGTTTTACTGAAATCTGGTGAAAATACCGAGTTTCTGGTATTTACAAGTGGTCTCACACCTCCACAGTGGGAGAAAGGAGCCACTTCAGCAGCTTGGAAATGAATGTAAATARGTTCTGCTTGTAATATATTTTAATTAATGCTAAGCTGCACCTCCAACAGGATGAGTAAGTCTCCTGCTTGGGAAGTCAGTAAATATTTAGACAGAGAACAGATAAAATGATGGTGTTGGAGCCAGCCCCTGACTTCCTATTCACCACTAAATCGCTGGAGCATTTAAAAGAGGAAAAACAGCAGAAAAATTGATCAAAATATAAGGAATGTACACACAGTTTCTTCTCACATGAATGTGAATTCTCAGAGTTTGGTAGGARCTAAAATGTGCTTTTGAGGAAGTGTGAAAAGCAGAGCACTGCTGGTGGTGGTTCTCTAATTTAACTGCTTTCTTACTGAGCTGAGAAAAATAATTCACCAAAAACCTGTTTGCCCAGAGAAATCCTTGGATASAGAACATTTTTTTAAAACACTGTTTTTGTGTTTAAATCAACAGGCCCCTAAAACAATAAATTAGCCTTGAATCCAAGATCAATGTGGAGATGATACTGAGATCTCTGTGCCTATGGGATTTCCCTGGGAATGCATCCAGGGAATTTAAASCAGAGCCTACACCCAGGGGTGCTGCCCAAACTTTGAAAATGACTTCATGCACTGAGTTACTTCAGCTAACAGATGAGGTTTGGGTGTTTTTCGTACAAAATGCAATAACCCATTAGTTATGGGGTTGAGGGTGCCTRGGCTCCTGCTCATCCCACAGAAATCCCACAGAAATCCTGGAGGGATCCTCCTTGTCCCAAGAGCACCCACAGGGATGTGACTCCCAGCCTTCCCAGCTGGCCAGACCTTTCCTATTCTGTGTCTGTTGAGATTTCTGACCCTCCTCAATATTTCAGTCTCATGGAAAACATCACTAATAGCTCCAAAATGTGGTTAAGTTGAGAGGTTTATGAAAACATTTTCATATTAAATTAATTTTTGGGGCTGATGCAGGAGGTTTCAGTGCTCTCTGTCCCAATGATACTGAAATATTCATGGGGTTTATCCAGAAAACAAAATAATTAGCATCTCACCTGGCCTTTCTAAATGTCTCTTGTTTCTTTAGAGCACGGGCACTGCTCTAATCCCCCTGATGGACAATAATATCATCAGAATGGGTCATTCCTTTTCCTAATTCTCTTCCCTGGTCGCAGCTTGGGCTTTGTTCAGAGAACAAGAATGGTGGCTCTACCACGAGTTTTGTTGGGGAAAAGGGAGCTGGGAAGTGAAGTCACAGATGAGCACTGATCTGAGACCCCAAGAACATCTTTCAGTATGCTTCAGTATTGTAGGATTATTGCAAATTCTCTGATTGCCACTCAGCACAAATAAAATCCTCTCTGGCACGGAGCTGCTCCAGAAACCAGCACCTTGAAAACCCAAACAGAACTCCTCACCCTACAGGCGCTGCTGTTGCAGTAAAACTTTTGGGGAAGGTTTAGAAAACCTTAAATTCTGTCCAAGATAAAACTACAGAGAGAGGTTTGGATGCAAATCCAGGAGAGCACAGCACCCTCCACGGTTGGCTTGAATGGGAACCTTCAACTTATATGGGGCAAATTGCACTGAACTCTCACACACTCCAAGAACAGGAAAGGTAAGGAAAAAACCAAAAAAACAAGTTAAACCTCCGAGAGTGGCACCACGATGGCAGGGCTGTTCATTACGCAGATTTAAAGGCCCATAAACAGCTGGCAGCCCTGTCACTGCRGTAATTACATCGCGGTTTTGGAGATTTAAACGCAGTTATTGGAACATTGTTCCTATTCAGTTCGTCACAGTGGGATCTCTAATTTGTTCGACAGCAGAGTTGTCTATCTTGGGCTAATTAGTGCTCTGGAAATTGAGTGGTGCCCATTACACAGAGCAAGGGATGCCTCAGAGTTGTGGGTTCCTGCGCCTTCAAAGAGCTCTCTGACGATCAAATCTCGAGCAGGATAAACATTTTCATTTTCCTGAGATTACTTTCGGTGTTTTTTTTGTAAAACCCAGCTCGTGARTGACAATTAAAAAGCGGTAAACAACTCAGGGGGGGATGAGGGTGGGAAGGTAAATGGGGATTGCACAGATGTTGGTATTTATATGGAAATCATGCTGAATGCCAATTTTTCCTTTCCTTTCTCAGYGTTGTTACAACGCTGTCAAAACACRRGGAAACCCTGCTAGTCAGTAATTTCATATTATCAATGAAAATGTTTTGGGCTGATAGAATAATCTCTCTGGGATGGAGAAAAAAAAAATCTCTGCAGGTCTTTGCTGTGGGTGTAAATTATTTTATTGGAATAAAAGCTGCAAGGGCAGAGAGGAACACCTGAACCAAGCTGATTTCAGAGAGACAGAAGTGTGGAAATTCATCAAAACTTTTCAGGCTGTTGTTTAACCCCTGAATAAAACAGACCCCCAGCTCTTCTCATTCCTGGGTGGGCACACATCTGGGCAGGGAATGCCCTCCTGATGGGGAAAATTAGTGAATAATTGATGTTACAGTCAGTGCTGTCCAGCCTCACACCAGCTCCAACCCATCCTCGGGGTCACTCTGCAAATTAAACCCATCCACCACCCTGCTCTTAGGAAAAAAACCTCTGGAAAATCCAGGGTGGGCTGGCAGTGAGCCCTGTCAACCTCAGAGCTCTTCACCTCCACAAATGGTAAAATATCAGGAAAGAGGGGAAAAAAAACAAGAAAGGAAGGAAATGATCAAAAACCAACCACAAGATCACACCCTAGAGCCCAGAGGTACCATCAATATGAGCCTGAATGCTCCAGAATAATCTTCTGGGATAATTTCCAGGTCATCAGAAATCCAGGGATCTTGGATTTCCAAGGTTTTCCCTAGATTTTCCCTAGGTTTTTCCAAGATTTTCCAAGATTTTCTTGGATTGCTTAAGCAGTTATGCTTAAATAACAGACAGGCATGTGGCACTTCTGTCATTATAAAAATATTAAGGTCTCACAAACAGAAAACCACGGAAGCAGATGAGTTTCAGAAACTAAAGATTCTCTTTAGACAAATTCACCTTTAATGACCAACTGCTGAAAGATGGGAATAGTCATTAGCTTCAATAATTAATGAATATATTTCAATATTATGGTTTTATTACTCATTAAACAAGCATAAGGATTAAAGTTTCATTATAATTTAAGGAGAAATAGGTTTAGCYGTGCATATTTTGTTCCATGAAGCATTTGCAGAGTGGTTTGGGGGATTTTCAAGGATGATCAGACAAAAGTGGGAGATTTTTGCCACTTCCTCTAAGTGAGGAAATGAGATGAGAAAATACTGCTGCTGGCAGAGCCCCCACAYTGCACTGAGAGATTTGATTCCAGGTAAATGAACCTGGAGAATTGAAATGGTGAATTAATTCTATTGCCTCTTTAAAGCAGAATTCATGCCTCGTGCACCTCTCCTGCACCCATCCTCCTTCCCCAGGGAGCCAAAACCATGTTTGTGTTTCCCAGCRTTGAGGACATCAAATATTCCCTTTCCTCTTCGACTTTGTTTCATGTTTTAAATTAATTAACTTTTCAGTAGAATAATGTATCTCCAAGCAGGCACAGATTTAAAACCAAGATGTAAAGAGGAATGCCAATCAATCAAATAAATCTTTTTCCTTTAGTCAAGTGAATTAATTAACATCCAGATGGCAAATAAAAAAAAAAAAAAAGGAAATAAAAAGAAAAGCAATTTGTTAAACATCTTGTGCTTAGATAATACTGACAGAGGTGCTGTGTGGGCTGTGAGGGACAGAAGGGTTTCCCTCACTGGGATTGAGGATGTTTTGCCTCAACCTTAATCAGCTTCAATTGGCAAATCAGAGTTTGGATGCCTCGATTTTGCAGCTCTGGGGTTTCTGAACCAAGGGGCAAATCCACACTGGAGGCTGGGGATCCCATCCCAAATCCCACCTGCCTCCCTGCTGTCACCTCTGTCCCCAAATGGGTCATTCTGTGAGCTGGGAGAGGATGAATTCCATTTTCTGCCATCACCCCACAACCAGCAGCAGTCGCTGGTTGAAGAACACGCTCAAGGCCACCCCTGCATGTGACAGTGACCAAAATGTCCCCAAGGAGGTCCCTCCCAGCTGCCACAGAGCTGACACAGCTCCTCATCCACCTTCCYCCAWCMCASGCTGCTCCAAACCCCRATGTCCAACYKGACCTTGGACACATCCAGGGGCAGCCCCAGCTTTTCTGGGCACCCTGTGCCAGGGGACACTGTGAGCTGCTGGGCATTTCTGCCAGGAGCACTGGATGGATGCTGGAGGTGTCACAGCCGCTCTCCCGTTGCTTCCCAAAGCTCCCCCAAAAATTCCCCATGGGATTTCAGCCCCTTTGGCTGGTCAGACTCACCGCTGAGAGGGTCAGGGACGGTGAATTGTTTTCTCCTGCCGGGGGTGGATGTGCAGGACAGTTTGCGGGCGGGGGTCCCGGGGGCAGCCTGGCTCTGCCGCGCTCTCCTCAGCTGCACCTTCAGCTCCAGCCGGCGGAGCCGCTTCTGAGAGCGACAGATGAACCCTGGGTTGTGCAATTCCAGCGCTTCCTGCGGGAAACACGGCYGGTGATGAACGGGAATGCAATGCCCAGGGAGGAAAAGGGGTGAGGGGAATAGGGTGGAGTTGAGGGAGAGATTGTTAAAGCCATGAAAATGATTTGGGGTTGGAAAGGATCTTAAAACACACCCAATGCCATCCCTGACATGGCAGGGATGCCTTTCACCACCCCAGGGTGCTCAAAATCCCAATGTCCAGCCTGGCYTTGG